GCTGCAAGATGTAGAGAGACAGGATCACTCTTACACTGTGGGTGGAACTGCAAATTAGTGCAAACACTGTGGAAAATAATTTGGATGATACTCAAAGAGCTAAAATAGAAATGCCATTTGATCCAGCAATAGCACACTATTAAGCATCTACCCAAAAAGAGCAAAAAATCATTCTGTAATAAAACATCTGCACTGAATGTTTTATGCGTAGCACCAATTCACTACTTGCAAGGACTTGGAAACACCCAAGAGCCTGTCAATTCGGATGATGATTAACAGAAATGTTTGATATGTGTAACAATGGAAATTACACACTATATAAGAAACGACGTTGTCAGCACCTGCAATTATTTTCCTGGATAGAGCTTTGAGCCATACTCAAGTGAGGTATCACAACGAATGGAAGAATAGGTCCACATGTACTTGCCATAAATTGCGCACTAACTGATTGACGATTATGGTGCTCTTACCCACAGTAGTAATATCTTCAGGGGTTTGGGGGATTGGGGTGGTGAAACTCACAACTACCTGGGGAGGCGGTGAGGCATTGTAAGTGGGGAAAAAAAGGCATGTCTCAACAATTGGTTTGGGTGGGAAAGTCAATAACCGATGTAACCACCAAAATGTTTGGACCCCATAATATCCTGAAATAAGTTAAATAAAAAAAAGTAAAGAATAAAAGCTAATTTTGCGCAATATTTGTACCCAGAAATCTGAGATGGACAAACGGACTTATTTGGTCTCTGCATGTGTATCATTTTATGTTTTTAAAAAAACACCTTTTGGGAAAGATTCTACTATCCACGTTTTCTTCTCTCCATGTCACAACTTTAAAAACTGATGTTCATTTACACATTTACTCTCATTTCTCATTGCTGGATTCTAACTGCCCTCTTTGTCAAAAGCCGATGATTGCAGTGTAGGTAAGGTGAGAAAAGCAGTCAGCTTCAGTCCAAGGCCATTCAGAGGTGCTGGATGTCCAGACACTCTTACAGGTTTTTTGTTGTGTTTATGTCAATCAAGATAAAGTCTGTTCTTTCAATCACTAGAGACGAAGAACATTTTCTTATTACCTTGATTCTAGAAAAAATTATGCATTGTTTTTCTTTACTCAGATACAAATAGTTCATTAGTGCCGATACAATCATTCCGTTTGTTTAGCTGTACCTTTTCAAGATAGATGATTTGATTAGCAAGACTTGCCTGTTGCAATCGTATTCAGGTCATTGCCAGGTGTGGACACTACTCCCAGAATGATAGTAAGAAAAAAATTGTAACTTTCAGTAAAAGAAAGTGGAAATATCAATAATAGGAGACCAAGTAGTGAAGAAACAAAACAAAAGAAAGACAAGGGCTGAGAAAACACTTCATATTCTTAACAACAAAAGGAGACATTCAATTACAGGAAAGTTAAAATTTTGAAAAGTAAGAGATGAAAGGAGTAAGTTGGGGTTGATAATATGCTATAATATACTTTGAAATGTCCACAAATCATATGTACAGTAGATTTCAAGTCTGGTGCTAGAATCATCACTAAGATCAATAACAACGAGTTGCTAAGTTCCGTAGGCCTTTCTTGTCGCTTAGACAATAGGATTAATTTAATTCTCTCACTCATCTTGAGATGAATACCATGCTCTCCGGCTTTCTGTTAATTGCTTCTGGTGTTCGTTCTCTAAGTCAAGGAAATCTTCCATCAGTGTTTGTGGGAATATCAGGCTGGAAATCAGGAGGTTTTCACTTTTGGACTCTTTTGCATCTACTAGAATGCACTTCATATTGCTTAACCCAAATATTTATTGATTCTTGTCATGAAATAACAATGATATATTGGATATATCAGCCAGCTTTTTGTTCTGTGCCTCCCTCTCTGTCTTCATCTCTCGGTATTAACATTCACAACTTATTACTTATTAGAGTGAAATTTCTTCTGATCATTTTCATGCCAGTGCTTTATATGTAATCATTGTGATCTGTGACATCACAGGCATTGCTAAAAAAAAAGTGTTCTTCTCACTATTTCTCTGGATGTTTTTCATGCTGTGACAACCATTCTGCTCGGTCTTCGCATGCTGACAATTTTTGGTCTATCAGAAGATGTTAATGAAGGGCTCTCTAGCAACAAGCCAGAATTCCAATTCCTTTTCCAGCTGGTTCTTAAATGGGTTCATTGACTGAAACACTGGAGAACTGCAGTTCGGCGGCGCGTGTCAGTGGAATGTCAATGGAAAAACAACCAAGTTCTATGCATGAGGAGATGCAAAATAATTCATGACCACTCCCTACCGGATAATTACGTTAAAAATTTCTGTGGCAGACGTTTCTAAAGATGCATGCTTTTATAATCTGACAATTGAAACTTGCCTTAAAAATAAACAATTTTGTTGAGCGTATAATGATCGCATAACCGCACCGTATTGAAATGCATAACTCGATGAGCCACAGGATCTTTTGTAAGTGTCCTGACACTCTTGCCCACAAGAATTGAGTTTATTTTCTTCTCCTTGATCCCAGCCTGGCCCTGTAACTCACTTGACTGATGAGTGCCGTGGAACTGTGCTGTGCATCTTGTGGAGCCAGGTACAAGGAAGCCTTTTCAGCGCCCACTGTCATATCTTGGAATGTCGTTCTTGGGATACCTGATCTGTCACATAACAAATCCACCTACTTACTGGAGAGACCAGGTAGACAGGAACTGAGTTTAGATGGAGAGCAAAGAGGCAAAGCTGTTCCAGCCATCCTGGTGAAGCCTTGAGATGATTCCAGCTTTAGTTATCATCTAATTGCTTGAGGTACCCATGGAGACCACTTGCCTTGCCCAGTCAACCCACAGAACCAGGAGAAATGATAAAATAGCAATTGTTTTGGAGTGGTTGTATGCAGGAATTTATCAGCCAAAACAAAGATTGGTGTTATGAATGGATGATGATTTAATAAAAATCCTAAAACATGTGGCACTGGCTTTGGGCCAGGCAGGATAAGAATCTTGAGGGCCCTCCAAGAGATTCTTAGTAAAGGCTGGAAAGGCAAGAACACATTTTATTGGGAGCTGAAAGAAGGTAACTTGTGTAATGTAGTGGCAGAAAATTTGGCAATGCTTTGGCTTGTGATAAGTGGCTAAGAAGGTATCCAGATGGCATGTTGATGTACCAGCTGGTTTCTTTAGCTGCGGTGTGACATGGTAAAGATAGAGATGGACTAAGGAAGTTAACTCTTCAGGTTCAAGTAGAATCTAGAGGAAACATTTCTGAGCCAGATTTTAGTTTGAAAGTAAAACCATTTCTCATCCCCATTCTCTTTCAGTAAAAGACTATAGAAGTAGTAAGTGACCTTGGGGAAAATCAAATCCACAGCACTTTCACTAAAAGTATGTCCTCGGGTCAAGATTTTAAAGGTACAGCTGTAGACCTTTGTCAAGACCTTGGAAAGATTTAAGACAGTGCCTCCTAAACCCTCCTAGCTAGGCAAAAGTCTTTTCAAAATATCCATGACACGTTCTTAGATCTTTTCTGTTATGTTAGAGGCTTCTAAGAAACTTATGGGCATTGTCACCCAGTGCCATTATTCTCATTCCAAGATAGAGAAGAGGATTGT